AGAGGAGTGCCGTGAGAAGATAGTCGCGACCGAGATTGACAAGGAGAGCTGTGGATCATGGATCTAGGGCACGGACGCGAGAGAGAGGAGCCGAGTTGCGCTCGAGCGAATGGAGGGTTTTTAATCGGGTTTAAGCGAATGAGTTAGGTTATAATATAATTATAATTTAAGGATATTTATATAAAAAATATTTAATATTTTGAAAAATAAAATTTTAATTTGTGTTTTATTTGCGTGTCGTGACATATCAAATATGAATGTCCTTTCTGGGTATTTTCGACATTCCGGACGCGCTGGCGAAGTCTGATTTTTCGTCGGAGGTTATCCGGAGAAGTTCGCATTTTCACCTATCCTCTGGGCTTAATGGAAGTCCGATTTCATGCAATTTTGTGAATTTTGTGCATTTGGTGTGTGTATGTGACAAAAAAAGTCGTGACAATGTTTTTCTAAGGCTTGAAGTCCTATTAGGAACTTTTCCCTCAAGTCTTTGCAAAATAGCCTATAACCGCTCGTTCATAAGACGACGGTCTTGTACCAAAAATACTAGACATCAAAGGAAAATAAGAAGTGACTAGAATTTCTAAAAGGGTGGGTCTTAATTCTAGTTTTCTAAGATGATCAATAAGAACTCTTAGAGCTAGATCCTAAGACCTTAAGGAAAAAGAAATGACCTAAAAAATGAGGTCAACAACGGACTGTGTTGATGTATCCATAACGTCAATTTTAGCCATAAATGATACCTATATTGTTTGGGTCTCACATGTGAATTATTGACACAAATTTCAAGACATTTAAAAAAAAAAACTAAAATGATTTCCCATCACTTGCTTTAGTCAACACACCCCCTACCTTATGCTGCCAATTCCTCGCCCGTATCTTCCACATGCGAAGCAGCCCCTTACCCAAAATGATATCCTTTTCCTTGTTTCCTCCCCCCCCCCCTTTTCCAGCAGCCCCTCCAACTCCTCTTGCACTGCTTGCTGTAAAACCTCCAATCCCTCTTGCCATGAGCTCTCCTCAAGAAAGCCCAGCCTTGAGATCCATCCTGACTTGGAAATCTGCCTGTAGAATGTAGGGGTTGCTTGGAATTGTGGTCTCTCCACTTCTGAAACTAGAGACTGCACCCCCAGTCTTTAGTAAGCTGGTAGGAACTGACGCTGTATCTCCCGCTTCATCATCAGATTCTCTTGTTCTCCCCTTCGACTCTCCCAATTACAGTCGAAGGTTATCTTCCATTGGATATCATCTTCAATGTCCGTGAGCCTCCGTTGAAGTTGGTGGATCTCTCGCCGTGTCTCGCTCCTGGGTAGGATGGGGCATGCATTTCCTTGGTGGTATGGCTAGGGTTTAGGACTGAGAGGTGAAAAGGGTTAAAATAACTGGTTTAAGGTTGCTGATTTTGAAAATCAGCACGGGGGAATTAAGGTTAGGGATATGTGGTAGTGGAAAGGATATTTGGTGGTAGGAAATAAATTCTTTGTTTTTTGGTGGAGGCTTGGTTTGGGGCTGCTGCTAGGAAATCCCAGGATGAGACTACGGTTGGGCTAGCTCTGATACCAAATGATACCGGACTTAACCCAAACCACGATAGAATATAAAAATATTATTGCTGATATTCCACGATTACAACAAAAACTCGTCACAATAGGAAAGGAATGACAAACAAACACAAATGAGGATGAAGATCAGAGTGGTCGTGCTGCGGTCGAGGGGAGTTGTGGTTATGAAAGGCTATAGGAGAAAAGGGGCAGCGGGCTGGTTACCAGAGAGATTGGGGTCAAATAGGTTTGAAGGGTGGGGAGCAGGCTGCTAGGTAGCAGCAAGGAGACTTGCGTCGGCTGTTTGGAATCCCTGCAGGTGCAGATGATAAGATTGCTTGTGGGTGTAGATTGGTTACGGGATTGCTGGGTAGTGGGTTGAGGCTTACGGGATGGCTGCATGGTGGAGGGGGATTAACGGGATGGTTGTGTAGTGGATAAGGGTTACGGGATTGCTGGGTAGTGGGGAGAGGGTTACGGGATAGCTGCAGGTTGGAGAGGAATTAACGGTAGGGCTGTGTGGTGGATAAGGGTTACGGGATGTGTTGTTTTGTGGGGAGAGGGTTACAGGATGGCTGCAGGGTGGAGAGGGATTAATGAGAATACGGTAAAGCAGGTTGTGAGGATAACCATCACCTCAGAGCGAGATATAACCGGAGCATCACTTGTCATCGCATATAGTCGTGGAAAGTGGAAATAAAATGCCGACGGCTGTCCTTGACAGAAATTTGAAATCAAACTCACAAAGCATAAACCTAATTCAGCAAGAACACATATAAGTAGAGATGGAATAGAGGGGAAATGAAAATAGAAAGGGGAAATAATTCCTGCCCAATGAAAAGAGAGAGAAGGGTCTGGTCCAGCTTCGTGCTGGGCTGGTTCAGCCCCCTAGCCCTGCGTCATTGCATTTGGCAACCTTTTTTTGAAAAGCCTTTATTTAATCAATGACTCTTTTCTGTCTCGACGCCAACTTCAAGAGCATTTTATAGCTTTCTTCATTTAAACAACATCAATGAGCAGCTGTTCAAGTTCAATGCATTTTTGTTAGTTATTTCGTTTTACCTAAAAAAGTAATTCCATATGATGTTTTTTGTGAAACTGCCGAAACCGTTTTTTTCGTTGTTATCTTGTAAATATTTGCATAATAGGTTGTTGTGCGTTTACTTATATTGCGTTGAACCTTCCTCCAGATGAAGAGGAAAGATGTTGACATCCGGCATGTTTATGATGCTCGTGCACTGAGGGTTGTTGTTGGCGACAGAAATGGAACTTTACATGGACCTGCTGTCAAGTGCTGCTATAGCGTTCTTGACATTGTACATAGGTGATTCCTATTTCTGCTCAACGCCTTAAATGTTACGCTCATGCAACTTTGATCCATGTTGCAGTAATTTACTCATTTACTTTCCAAGAATGCCTTTGATAAATTGCTATTTAGTTAGAATTCTCTCCCTCTCGTATTGTGGCTCTTGGTATATTGCTCTGCTTCACTGGTGCTCTTGCTCTCACTTTGTAGATCTCAAAACTACCCCTGTTCACTTTATACGATTTGTGGGTTTTTCTGGCTTTATTATAAGATATAGACATTCTGGAATGCCCTAGAAATGGCTGAACTTCATTAGTAATATCTGATTTTAGCTTGAGACAAAGTAGAATTATTAGTTGCATATGTACATGATCATGAATATTGACTGGTTTTATAGGCTCTGGACTCCAATTGATGGGGAGTTTGATGACTACATTGTAAACCCCAAGCCCAGTGGATATCAGGTAGTTCCTTCAAAACTATCAATTTCAGTCTAGCTTGATTATTTATTTGGATTTTTCTTGCCAATATCTTTTTCCTTTTAATTCCAATGTGATTCGTAATTTTATCATAATCAAACATGTTTTCAATGAATGGCTTGACATTTATAATTAATGATAAATTCAGAAAATTGAATTACTGATTTGCGTGTGGGCCAAATAACCAAGGAGCCTGAGAGGAATAATACTTTGTAGAAGGCATACTTTGATAAGAAAAATTGTATTTTTTATTATTTAATAGAAGGGGTGACATGGGGCTCCCTCGGGGGCTAAACCGGTTCGGCCTCCTAATCGGATTTAACCAGGGGGAGACTAGGGGTCGGCCGGTCCATATTATGGGCTAGGGTTTCAGCCCAAGGGGAGGGGCCTCCCCCTCCTAATTTTCTTCTATATATTTTTGATATTTTCTATTTTAGAGCCATTTTTTGTGAGATTTTTTTTTTCTGGACAGCCACCGGCATCCCTTTTCCCCTTTTTAGGGTTGTATTCGACGGTGAGAAGGTGATTTGGCTGTAACTCGTCCAAGGTGTTGTGTATCTTCCCATATACTTCTTGCTGCCCTCTCCCTTCAGCCCTGTCTACCAACAAATGACCAACGCCCTTCCATCCTTTAGGTGGCAGCTGTTAACCTGTTTTTGTTTTCCTTGCTACCGCTGACCCTTTACACTCCTCTCTTATGACCACCACACTTCCTACCTGTTTCCAACCACCGCCACCATCCCTCCCTCCTTTCTGCCCGCAGCAGCTTCTCTCCTTTCTGCTATACCCGCAACGCCCGCCTCCTTTCTGCTACGACCCAAAACCCCATGCAAACCCCCTGACCAATCGGCTTCCATAGACCCATCCCTAACCCTCCTAATCCTAACGCCACCCTCTTCTTTCCTACCTACCATTATCCCAATCTCACTTGCACTATCTACCTGCCAGCTTGCCACCACCCATCCCCCTCGCCATCGCCTTAGGGCGTCTTCTTACATTTGTTATCATTTATTTCTTTTTTTGAGTCGTTCTCGTCGTAAACGCTTTCCAGCTCCTGGATTGGCCGGTCCAAGCAAGAGGGAGAGCCGACTGGCTCCCTTCTTTGTATTTGGCGTCTCCTTTCGGTCTCGGGCTCTATTCTAATTATCTAAGGCATATATATTTTTAATTCTCGTGTTTTAAGTTTTCAGTTTTTGTGATTATTTTGTTGGGACAGCCTTTGGTATCTCAAAGTCTTCCCTTCTAGGGTTGTATCCAATGGTGAGTGGTGCTCCGACTGTTTCTTGTTTCGAGGTGGTGATTATTCTCGACTTCCCCTTCCACCCAATCTTCCCTCTGCTGCCACCATCCTTCCCTGCTGCAACCGTCGAACATCCCTTCCTGATCGTTTTTCTGCAAATTCACTTTCTGTTACCTTTCTGAACCCACCTCCCTCACCGCCGCAGTCTTCTCAACCACTTTTACCACCCTCTGCCGCTACCTATTTGCTGTTCAGTCCTCCCACTTGCTGTTTCCAACAATCCACAGTCGTCCTTACCACCATCTGTCGCTGCATCCCTCTTCCTTGCTTCATCCCTCTTCCTTGCTGTTTCTAAAAATCCATACCACTTCCATCCGTCCTTACCACCCTCTGCCAACGCTGATCTGCTATCCAGTCCCCCCCTTGTTGTTTCCGTTAACACACAACCTTTCGAGCCCCGTACTCGCTGTTGCTCCCCATCCACCCATTCCATCCACCTGCCACTATTTCTGGACCACCTAGCCAACCTCCACCTCCTAAAAATCAAACCCTAGTGTGAGTTTGTTTTGTGTTATTATTATTTCCCATTTCTTGAGAGGTGTGCATGTTTGCATTAAAATAAAATAAAAAAATACGAAAGAGAGCTATAAAGCTACACAAAAAAGGAAGCAGCGTGGTGGGCATCTTCTTCCATCACACTAAAAAATTGTAGTCACAATTGTGAGCCTCCCAAAAGAAAGACCTATCCAAAGCACACCGGGCATAAAAATGTGCCGCTTTATTACATTCCTTGTGTATTGAAAAGAGAAGAACCTGTCGAATCCTAGAGAGCAAAGCAAGCTTAGCCCCCTTGTTGTGGTCACGGCTTCACACCTCTTCACGCTTTCACGAAGCGCAGCCATAACCGTTCTGTTGTCGCCTTCTATGATGATCCCCTTGTTTCGAACATCCAATCCATCATGATGCTTCCCATAAAAATGAACACATCAAGCTCCACCATTGAACAGTCCCAATGGAGAAAGGGCTTGCCACAAGGATAACCCTTCCCAACTTATGCTGAACAACAACACCAATACCAGCTTGAGCATTAGGAAGCATAGCGCTATCAAAATTGGCTTTAAGCCAGCCTAGAAAGAAGTTGGGGGGGGTGGGTGGGGAAGCATCCCATTGCTCCTTGCCGCCAAAAGTCTTGAAGTGTGACTGCACAGAAATAGTATTGGCTGCCATGATAGTTAGTGTTCCAAAAAGACGGCCATGCTTCATAGAATTGCGAGCCCGCCAACGCTGATACACCAGTCCGAAATAAGTTCTGCCACCTGCCGACTCATCCCGTGGGAGTTCAGCCTCTTTGTACACATACTTTGCAAATCAGCTAAAAAAAGGATGTGGAAGTCCCACTTGCGCAACACATCTGTAACTTCTCGGACAACCTTGCAGCCCACGGTAACATGATCCAGGTCTTCAACTTCATCTCAGCCCCATGGGCAAAGAAAATCCTCCCCAATGCCACGCCTAGGAAGCCAAAAATTCATAGGTATGGCGTCCTGGAGCACCCGCCACCAGAAGAATGCCTCACGAGGATGCTATCTGAGCTTTCAAACCCAGCATTCAGTTGATGTCTCACTATCGAATGATTGTTTATAAGATAAAGCAGTAATAGATTGCCCTGGAAAGCAGGTAAAAGAAAAGGCCTGTCAACTTGGTCCTCCCTCAGTTGCTGAACTTGCTTGATGGTATTAATAAGCTCAGGCCCAAAGTAAAGGCCCATTACATTGTCATTCAATTGGTTATCCATAATCAGCGAATCCACCTGAAGCCCATCGGGCATATACGGATTGATATATTTAGGCCATTTGGAGCATGGGAGATTGAGGATCCTGCGATCATTCAGAATATCAATTTTGTCTCCTGTCCCAACCTCCCAATGAATGACAGTTCTGAGAGCAGCAGCCCCACTTGTAATTATTTTCCAATTAGTAGAGTCCTTCTGATTTCCACCTTGACGCCATATATTTTGGCCATATTTTTCAACTAAGCCGCTAAAAGGAAAAACAGTGGGCGTCACTAACAATACCCGGGTCAGCCGAGCCCTTAAAGGGCCTTTCCTATCAGTATCTTTCGGTTGGCATAGTTTCTTCCGGGCTATATAGTAAAGGCCCCTCCTGTTCGGGCCTTTATCCCATAAAAAGGAACGACATGCTTTTTTCCATGTTCTCCAAAATCGAGCTGGGTGGGTCAGAATGAGTAAGCAAGAAGGATGTCGAGGACAATGAAAAGACTGGTTGATAAGTGTAGATCCGCCCTCAAGGGGCAAATAACGATTACCCTAACCTTGAAGCTTACCATTAATCTTATGCACAAAATCAGAAAAATCAGCCGCATTGAGTTTTCTCATTGCAAGTTTGATTCCAAGATAATCAATTTCCTCAACCCTTCTAAAATGGAGGAATCTAGAAATGTGGATTTTCCACCACATAGCCGCTTTTCTGCTAGAAAGGATAGAAGATTTGATAACATTAACCTTTTGTCTCATCCATGCACAATAGTGCTTGATGATAGTTTGGCCGGTTCATAGACACTACTATAGAGGCTTCAACAAAGATAAATATGTCATCCGCATACATGAGATGTGAAATCTTAGTGCTGCCCGACACCATCTCAACTCCCAAATGCTCTTCCTGAAGACTCAGAGCCCTTGACAAAAGTTCGGAATGTAAAATGAAGAGGTAAGGGGAAAGCGGGCACCTCCTGCCGAAGCCGCATTTAGCCTCAATTCATGGCATACGCTGCACATTAACAAGAATGGCAAGTCGCGACGGGCAAACACAATGAAGCACCCATCTAATAAACAAAGACGAGAACCAAACTTCTTCCCATTTCAGTGTGTGTTTGGTTGTAACCGCCTATTTGGACTTTTCAATAATAATATTTATTTTTCTATTGTTGTTTGAGTTAACTCTAGTATTAGAAAGTAACAAATTATTATTCGCCGAGTGAGCATACACACTTTAAAGATCCCACACATCATTGTGAATTTAATGAAATGATCTTAATGATTTTTAAGGTTTTGGACAATGTGAAACACAGTGTTGTTTTGCGTAAGGACAAATTTCATACTAAAGGAAGATTGATTTTTATTGTAGAATTGATTTGGGAGTAATTATTTTAATAACTAAAAAACTAGGGTCGCAAATCTATGGCCACCATGTTATTTGTTGACTAAAAACAAGAGTTATAAAACTCTTTATTAGGATTTGTTCCCTCATCAACCAATCATCCTACTTGGCGCTAGTTCCTAAAGTTTTCAGTTGGAAGCATAAAATATAACATATCAATTGTGACTGAGAGTTAATCTACTAATCGATAAAAAGGGTACGTGATAAATTTGAGATATGAGGATTATTATGAAGAGTTATTAAGGAAGAAATTTGAATTGAACCTATCACAACTAAATCTGAGGCCAATTTGCATCTTTTTTTATATTGCCAATAGAAGTTGTGTACGAAGAACATAGATAAAAGCAACTTATCATGAGATCTGTTGCTCTAGAATCAATGATAGAGGAGTCGTGATGCTCAAATTTTAATGCGTCAAAAGTAATTTTATTACCATGTGTCAAAGAATAGAAAGGAGTGGAGGGAAATTATGGGCGCTTAAAACATTTTGCTGGTGTTCTATTTCTTTCTTTGTGAATGGAGATGTTTTTGAGCTGATGAATGTTTCGTAAAAAATTCAGTATTGGTTTGAAATGCCTCCTCATGAGGTTCTTTTTGAAGTTTGCTAGCTTTTCTTGAATATTCTAACAAGTCTCTTTTGTATACCATAAATTTTTTCTCAATTTTCTCACCGTAATTATTTTATTCTATCTACTTTATCATTTAATCCCAAAAACAATAGAGTAGAATTTCAATGTCGCGATGTGCGTTTTTTGTTGTCTTATTGATACCTTCTTTTTACATTCTGATACCGGAGTTAACCTCAAACAACAATAAGCAAACAATATTATAACTGGAAAAGCCAATCGACAGTACAACGACACACTGCAAGGAAATAACAAAAATCGACCCAACACTCCTCAACTAGGGCTGTAAGTCAAAGGTAAAGGCGGCAGTTATGCGGGAGAGAAGGGCGATGGTTTGCTGTTGTTGGAAGGCAGCAAGTCGGAAGGGGTACTACGGTGGAGTTGCAACAAGTAGTTACAATGGGAGGAGGTGGGATGTTTCAGGTTGGAAGATGGGGGTGTCAGGGAAGCGGTAGTGGTGACTGTCCTGGGCGGCTGTAGTGAGAAAAGGGGGCTGTGGCAGCGAAGGAGTGAATGTGGGGCAAGGAGAGTCGGAAATAATAACTATCATAGGATGAGTTACATTGATAGCACCTTTTTGCCTTTGGAAAGAGCTCTCGAATGGGGAAACCGGATGCCAACGGCTGTCTTGACAGAAAACTGAATCAAATATTGAACCTTAAAACACAAAAAACAAACTTATATACTTGTAAATAGCTAGGAGAGGCGGGATTCCCTCCTATTATGACGGCAACCCTAATTCCTAGGTCTGGCCGGCACCCTTTCTTTCCAGCAGAATTGGTTCAGTTGCTCCAAACTGGTTAAGCCAGAAGAGACCCCTGTGCCACCTTCTTTCTGCTGACCTCAGAAAATACTTCACGAATGGATGGGAGAGATTTTTAAATTTAGGATTCTTACCTTTATATAGATTATAGTTTATTTTTCTTGCTAAAAACATGTAAACACAGTGATTCTCCTCCCTATTTTCTGAACCTTGCATAATAATTCGAGTTCTTTCATACATCTTCATAACATGGACCTAAAATTTTCCATATGTCACCAAGTCATTTTAATATATTTGACTACTTTCGTTCATTGTTTAGATTGCTAAAACCTTGATTTTAGATCAAAGAATTTAGGTGTTTTCTAAATTTGAATAGGTTTCACGCACAACATCCCTAACATCCTTTATTGATAGAAGGAACATTTAGCAATATTTTGCTCCGTCAAAATTTTCAGGCATCTCCATGTCATAAACGTTGGTTCATTGGAGGCTATCTTCTTACTTCGCCATTTAAGTTATCTAAATACTCTCTTCCATTGCTTGTTTGAGACCACACCAAATATTGTTTATCATTCAGTCTGTTAAGGATTCATGTAGTGGGATATAGGCTTCTTCTTGTTTTTGTTGTTGTTGTATTGAGTTTGTTAAGAGCTATTTTGAGGGAGTAGTTTGAGATTTTGTAATCAGGAATTATCATGGTAGGTAAGTTATTTATGTTCATATTTGTAACGTGAGGTAAATTGCTGTTGCCTGTCATAAAAAATATTATTCCCGCCACCCACATCATCAGTTTTTGCTAGAATGGTGGTTTTCATATGATGCCCAAACCGATTTATGCTGTCTTGAAACCTTATGCATTTCCTTCAGAATGCTGAGCCCAATAATGGGCATGGAGGAAAATGTATTTTTTTGGGTTTATTATAGTTAGGAATAACAATGCAATGCTCATAGGATACTTTGTATCTTTACACATTTAATTTCTATCGTAACTAATCAAAACAAATAAGATAAAAGTTTGAAATTCAAATAAAAAAAAAGATCGTAATTAACTGTGACAATTTATTTCCTTCTAGTGAAGCTGTTCACATGCAATGAACACTTTATTTTCTCCTAATCCAGTTAGCCCCCCTTGGATCCTACTCATCCTTATATTTTCCACAGTTTATACTATTATTAATCTTTCTAAACATCCGAAATTTTATTTTATAGATGAACCTGATCATTTAGTTTATTTAATTTTTCCCTGTTGAAGTTTATTTCCTACTCATCCTACCGGACCTTATATTTTTTAGAGTTTAAATTATTATTAATCTTTCTAAATATCAACAATTTTATTTTATTGATGAACTTGATCATGCAGTTTATCTAGTTTTTTCCTGGTGAATTTTATTTTTCCATGAAAAAATTCTCTGATTAGATGCCCACGCTCCCTATCTTTTTTGAAGTATTTGTTTTATCTGATGTCCAATGTTGCATCGTCTCTTTATTAGTATCTGTTGGTTTTAACATTTTAGGAAGGCAATGGAAACTCAAAAGTAAATGCTGCCAATCTTACTACATTTATTTGAGATATTTGAATTAAATAAACTGAGGAATGTTAATTTTACTTTAAAAGGACAACTTAAATCCAAGCCAAATTCCAAAATCAAGGGTGCATTCTAATGTTTCAAAGTTGCCTAAACTTTTGATTTAAATCCTAACAAATGTGGTTAGTGTAATCCTTGCAGTCTCTTCATACTGCAATGCTAGGTCCTGATAGCTCACCAATAGAAGTCCAAATAAGGACACAGGTACAACATTTATTTGTTCATTAATAATCTACAAAATAAATTACACAATAAATGGCAATGCACATTGATATTTCATTTCCAGCGGATGCACAAGTATGCAGAATCTGGACATGCGGCCCATTGGTTATATAAGGAGAATAAAGTTGAAAATGCAGATACCATACATGATTCTAAAACTCAAACATCATCCTGCCAAACAGCGTGTTTAGAAGATGAAGGTTATACTCAAGAGGATGCTCATCAGAAATATGGCTTTTTAAAAGTGGGGCATCCGGTCTTGAGGATAGAAGGCAGTCAATTGCTTGCTGCAGTTATCATTAGGTTAGTTAAAATTTTGACCGAGAAGCATAAAATATGTTACTAGAAATCTTTTTTTTTTTAATATTACTTTCGCTTTGGCCCTTTGTGCAGGGTTGATAAAGGCGGAAGAGAGCTTTTGGTTGCTGTGAGTTTTGACCTTGAAGCATCTCAAGCTGTTGCTGAGAGGAGATTTTCTTTCCAGCTAAAACGTTGGGAAGCTTATGCAAAGTTATATAAAAAGGTAAATTGTAAATCCTATTTATGTAGCATTTCTTTCCCACCCAGAAGTCCGCAAGATGGGAGTTTATTACTGTTTAGGCAACGATTGAAGAGCAGATTTTGGCAACAATTTCTAGAGCCTTTATCAACCGGACTATTTGATAGCTATTTGTTTAGCAGTTAATTATAATTGAATGTTGGAAACATCCCGCGCCAACTTTATACAACAATGGTAAAGATTTGAAGAGTCATGAGAATCAGTCAATGTGCTTTTTGACATTCTAGGTGAAATTGTTACCATGTTGACTGGAACGTTAACACTAGCTGTAGATCCCGCTGGTCAACTTTCTAGTCCAAACTCCAAACTGTTAACGGATTGAACTGTTTATCATTCTCGTAGTAGAAGCCCAAAGTTGCCATAGATATTCGAACTATGTCAAAAAATGGCATAGTTTTTTAGACATGCATGTATAATGCTTTCCAGCTATTTTATATTCAGCTAATAGTTGTTTATCTATGTTCCATGTAATAACTGAAATTAGAAAAATAAATAAATAAATAAATAAATAAATCGAATCGGCATTGTGGGTTAAACATCGCTATGATTAGGCTTAAGAGTCGGAGGGAGTTCAATTGAGAGTCTATCCTTCATTTTAGAAACTGGGAGAGTAAGAGTTCAAGAAAGATAAAGTATGGAGTCTTGCTAGCCGTTTGGTCGAGGAGAAAGACAACAAGAGGAAGGAGAAGGAAGAAGAAAGAGGAAGAAAATGAAGCTTGTGTTTCTTTTCTTGCGTGGGATTCGACCTCGTGCCTAGCCATGCAAAGCAGGAGGCACTCTGCTTGCGGGTTTGAGTGGAGGATTCGAAGCATCTTACTATGTGTGCGACACCACTGTCGAGCCGAGGAAGGCTTGTCGCTCCGATCCCTAGCCGAAGGAATGAATTGAGGTAGGAGAAGGAAGGAGGAGGAGATTGTTGTGCGTGATGCTACCGTGCGTAGCTTCCATGCGAATGAGTGAGGGAAGAGGATTCGTGCCTTATCGAAGGAGTTTATAGCTCGCATGCGTGGGTTATAAGATTGAGCAAGGTATAGCTAAGAGTAGTATTTAAGTTATCGAATCATGCAAATTTTATTAAAAAATATTATGGTGTTAAATAAAGTTTTATGAATTTAAAACAGGTATTGTAATTGAAAGGTTTTTTGTGTGAAGGAGAGGGAGACTGCTTGTGTGCGTGCCGGTAAGGGTAGCCAACCGAAATTGTTTGAAGGTTAGGATTAAGTTTAAATTCAGATTTAATTAATTTAAATAAATGTTATAAGTATTAATGTTAGTTTCTATTAACTTATTTCAGGATCATAGTTATAAAATCTTGAATTTGAGGGAGTAAGGTGACACAAACTTCCTGTTTGAAGGAAAAGGAAGAATCACAGGTGTAAATTGGAAAACCGGAGCTTTTATAAGGTAAGCTAGGTTTATTTTCTTAAATTTTTAAATTGTAATTATGTTAGGATTATTGTATAATTAATAAAAAATTGTTATGTGTAATTTAATAAATTATTAATAGTGGATTTTATTATTTGATGATTGGATGTGACAAGTCGAAAACTTTTTACTTTGCTTGATTTGGAGATTTTAATTGTTGATTTCACTCAAGGAGGAGAAGTTTAAAGTTAGAACTTTTAATGTGTTGTATATGTTTAGAATAGTTCATTAATTAAAATGATATTATATGTTAATATTAAGTTGTGCTAAAATAGGAAATTTTTAGATCGAGAAGCATTTGAGATTGAAGGGAGGAGAAGAAATTTCAGCATGACAGGTAAGTGTTTGAATTGTAAATTAATTATAATCAAATAAATAATGATTTAAGTATTAAAATAAGTTTTATTGCTAAATAATGTTAAAAGTTTGAGATGGAAAATATTTGGATCTGAAAACAAGAAGAATTAGCAACATTAATTAGATTTTGGCAATTCAAGTTATTAAACTGGAGGATTATCACGAGTATAATGGTGAAAGGCTTGAGGTGAGAGTTATATTTCTAAATTTTAGTAATTTTTTTTATTTCAAAATATATGTTTGATTTCTTGTTTGCTCTAATTTAGTTAGATTTAAATTATAATAGTTTTTTCATATTAGTAGACAAAAATATCCATAATAGGAAAGATATGCATGATAAATAGTTGCATATTAGAGTAAGTATGCTTCTTAAATATTATTACGTAAGAGTCTAGTTTAGGAAGATATTAGATTTTTGCATGATCCTTATGTTTTGGTAGAGATATACATATTAGTTTTTTGCGTGATCACATATATATATTTCACATTATTTCCTAGCCTTTATAATTTTAGTAAATATGCATATATCAATTTATTTCATGATTTATAGATCTTATAAGTTTGCATTTATTCATGAGAAAATAAAGATAAAATTTTTCATAAGAAAAAAATGTATATTATGAAGAATGAAATAATTTATATATTACTTGTACGTGCATGTTAAAAGGAGTTCACCTCCTAATGGTACAGAGAAAGGATGTCAGTGTACCCGCGTGTGTAGATGTTTTCCTAATACTCCATACAATTGTGATGTTGAGATCACTAACAGCTATACCGACGAGATAATATCGTCAGGGACGAGTTAGGACTTTTCTACCTTAAACATTTGCGTTGTTTAGATCACTAACCGTTATGCCGATGTGATAAAATTGGTCAGGGGTGTGTTAGGTTATGTTTTAATTATGCTCTTAAGATAGAAGAATATAAAATACAAGTAAAGTTAATGTTATGACATATTAGGAGTTCAAATTATTTTTATTGAATGAATGTCATGAATACATTTGATGGTTATATGATTTTCTAAAATGAAATATGAAAGATTATCGTGCATATTATCTCTTTTTCTTAAATCACTGTAGTTTAGAAGTGTGATTGTTCTTGGATTTTTATTAGATAATTCATTACGTTATTTTAACATTTTTTTAGGGTTTAAACTTTTAAATAAAATGAATAGAAGAGGGGCTAATATATACAGGAGGGAATAACAACAGGAAATGTAAACGTTTACTTGTTAATTAAATTACTTTTTTTAGTGGCTCTTTCAAGGATGTTTGAATATTAAACTATCAATTATAGAAATAAAAAAAAATAGAGAATTTATTTTTATTGTCTGACCGTTCGTTCTTGCCTTGGTCAATTCGAAGTCCCAGGCCGGGTTGCGACATTCCCCATTATGTCTGAAAAGTTAGAAAAGCATGGTGTACTCTAATCAAGAAAGTTCATAGATAACTGTATGATTCTTAAGGTCATAAATTGCAATTTAAGCTTTGCTTAGCTCTAGTGATGGTGCATCAATTGAGGGACTTTATAAATCCTCCTTGTATTCTTCAGTTTTGTGTGGATGGGTACCTGATTTTGTTTCCAATGGTTGAGAGTGCATGGAATGATAAAATAAGGATAATCATAGGGAATTTTCTGAGTATATTGGGTAGGATGGTAGCAAATTTTAGCGAGTGGTAATTTAAAAGTAATATTCATCTAGTATAAAATTAAGATTTATATTCTCAGATTTGATAAGTCTTATGATTAACAGTCAATATTCTCTCAGCCTAAGGTCCCATTTGGGGCAGTTTATAAATGCATTTGGCATTTTGAAAACGCTGAAAGGGCGTTTGTTTCATGTGTTTGGGCTGATTATCCGGATCAACTGTTTGAATTCGTTTATTAAACGAGGCCGCGGGATCGACTTGCAGCCTGCACTCTTCACTTTGCTTTTTACTCCTGTTTCTTTATGTTGATCTGTCTCCTCGCTCGACCTCTATTTTGCCCTTTGTAACTCCTCACTCGCTTCTCTCCCTTGGTTGCTCCTATGTTGCGATTAGCAATGCCTTTCACCCCTTCCTCCTCCCTCTGACCTCTAGTTACTGTGCTCTGTAAGCAATTTTGATGGAATGCTTTTCTATATGCAATTTGTGATAATTTTTTTATGGAATGGTCATCTCTATGCAGCTTTCCGATGAATTGGCTTTGCGGAATTTTTTTATTTTTGGATAATTTGGACAATGAGTGAAAATGAATTGGGGTGAATGAGATTGTATCTTGTGGCTTTGCACGATTCTCCATTGCGATTGGCTGTCTTTGTTACTGTGTTGCTATGATTGCTTTGGGTGGTGGCTGTGTTTAGTTTGCGGGCATCTATATGGTGGTTGTATTTGACTGTGGGTGTGGGTGTGTGTGTGTGTGTGGATGTATATGGTGGTTGTATTTGACTACGGGCTTAAAATTTTCATGCCTAGCATACAATTATGATGTATTTGGCTGTGGGTGTGTGTGTGTGTGTGGCTGTGTGTGGTTGGCTTTGGGCGCTCTATGTTGTGGTTTGTGTTGTGTTGGGCTTTTTGTGTGGGGCTTGGTTGGGTGATGTTTGTGTTGTGTTTAGGGTGTATGTGTGGGTGTGGGTGTGGGTGTGGGTGTGGGTGTGGGTGTGGGTGTGGGTGTGGGTGTGGGGTGGGGCTTGGTTGGGTGATGATTCTATTGGGGTTGTGTGTGCTATGTGTTGTGTTGGCCTTGGGTGGTGGTAGTGTGGTTTGTGAGCATCTATATGGTGGTTGTATTTGGCTTTGGGTGTGTGTTGGTTTATATGGTGGTTTTTTTTGGCTGTGGGCTTCAAATTTACATGTATAGCATACAATTCCGATGTATTTGGCTATGGGTATATGTGTGGTTGGCCTTAGGTGCTCTTTGTTGTGGTTTGTGTTGTGTTTGGTTGTTTGTGTGGGGCTTGGTTGGGTTGTGGCTGTGTTGGGTTTAGGGTGTGTGTGGCTGTGTGTTGGGGTTTTGGGTGTGTGCTATGTGTGTTGTGACTGTGGGTGTGTGTATGGCTGCGTGTTGTGTGGGGCTTGGTTAAGTGGTGGTTGTGTTTGGGCTGTGTGTGTGCTACTTGTTGTATGGGCTTAGGGTATGTACTATGTGGTTGGGTTTAGGGTGTGTGTTTGGATGTGTTGTGTTGGGCTTTTTTTGTGGTGCTATGTCTGTGTGGTGGCTGTGTCGGGTTTAGGGTGCGTGTGTGGTGTGTTGTGTTGGGGCTGTGGGTGCGTGCTGTGTCTTGTGGTTGTGGTTGTGGTTGTGCGTGTGGTTGTGTGTTGTATGGGGCTTGTTTGAGTGGTGGCTGTGTTGGGGCAGTGGGTGTGTGCTATGTGTTGTGTTGGGTTTAGTGTGTGTGCCATGTGGTTGGGTTTAGGGTGTGTGTGGATGTGCGTTTTCTTGGGCTATTTATGCGGTGCTATGTGTGTGTGGTGGTTGTGTCGGGTTTAAGGTGTGTGTGTGGCTATGTGTTGTGGTTGTATGTGTGGCCGTGTTGTGTGGGGCTTGGTTGGGTGGTGATTGAGTTGGGGTTGTGGGTTTCTGTTATGTGTTGTGTTGGGTTTAAGGTATGTGCTATGTGGTTGGGTTTATAGTGTGTGTGTGGATGTGTATTGAGTTGGGTTGTTTATGTGGTGCTATGTGTGGGTGATGGCTGTGTTGGGTTTATGGTGTGTGTGTGTGACTTTGTTGTGTTGAGACTGTGGGTTTGTGTTATGTGTGTTGTGGTTGTGGGTGTGTGTGTGTGGTTGTGTGTTGTGTAGGGCTTGGTTGAATGGTGGTTGTCTTGGGGTTGTGGGTGTGTGCTATTTGTTGGGTTGGGTTTAGGGTGCGTGCTATGTGGTTGGGTTTAGGATGTGTGCTGTGTTAAGCTGCTTGTGTGGTGCTATGTGTATGTGGTGGTTGTGTTGGGTTTAAGGTGTGTGTGTGGCTTGTGTTGAGGTTGTGGGTGTGTGCTATGTGTGTTGTGGTTGTGGGTGTGTGAGTGGCTATGTTTTGTGGGGCTTGGTTGGGTAATGGATGTGTTGGGGCTGTGGTTGTGTGTTTGGCTCTTTGTTGTGTTGGGATTTGGTTGGGGGTGCTTCATCAATGTTTGATCAGTTTTGGGGGTGCCTTATATTTAATTGTAGTGTGGAAGATTAATGTTTTGCCTTCTCTTTGTTAGTAACGCAATGGTTAAACCCAAAGAAGTTGGTTCATTAGTCATGTGGGATAGGAAAGTCACAGTCATATTTTGCAACCTGTATCTTAAGGAGGTTGAGCTGTGAAATGGACCCACCACCTATTTTAACAAAGAAATATGGCAAAATATTATGAAGAAGTTCAAAGAACTGACAGGAAGACATTACAACAGGTTGTAATTTAAGAAAAAGTGAGATCAGTTGAAAAATGATTGAAAATTATTGAAAGGACTAAAACGGCGATCCACAAACATAGGTTGGGATCCTGTGAAACGAATAATAGATGATTCATAGGACTGATGGATTGAGGGATTCGAGGTAAAAACATATCCTTTGATTTACTTGTTTTTTCCATTTGTTATCCTACTAATTTGTTGTAAGTAATAAACTTGTTTGTATGTTGCAGGCAGTGCCAGCCGCCAAAAATTCAGATTCAGTGGTATTAACCTTGTCCTTGAGGAGAAGTTGGACCGTATGTTCAGTGGGGTTGTTGCAACTGGCACTCATGTGTTTACCCCAAATGAGCATGAGCTTGGAAGCATACCAGAGGACTTGAAGACCGAGCAGTTAAGTGGGTCCGGTGATGACCTCAACCTAAACCAGAAGGAGATGGAGTCCACATGCCGGTCAAAGCGACCTAAAGTGGAGAAAAAGAAAAAAAAAGTAGGTGCTTTCGTCAGAAGCCAAATAACAAAACTGGTGGAAGCGTGCAAAATTCAGGCTGGTACTTCACATGACATCTCCATAAACGACTTATTTGAATTATGGGGACATATCTTGAAGTTAGGTCAGATAAGTCGTTCCATCTGAAATCCTTGAAGTAGCTGGAGGACCCGACCTGCAGACAAATATTCATGAAGATTTTCCCGTACTTCGGGTTGAATATTTTTTTTTTACGGACAATTGATTTTGTGGAGTTATTATTTAGTGGCTTTGGTTTTTTTCACTTTGTTTCATGAGTTTTTAGATTTAGATGTTTTCCTTTCTAGCACGAACAATTTATATGTTGCTCTGTGTTTATTTTTGCTTATTATACTCTGTCTTCAGTTTTTAAATGTTCTTTTAACGTTATTTGATGCACACTTATTACCTGAACAGAGTAATTCTTTTGCATGGATTCACATTGAGAGATACTGAGAAGAAAGATTGCGACGGCAGGAGTTGCTGTACGAATGCTACATCTCACGTCGATCGAACTCCTTGCATGACATCAACTTATATTGGTGATAAATGGGTTGGAAAGCTATTATAAGAATACCCCACGAGATTCAGTAACATATTTCGTATGACAAAACCTATATTTATGAATCTACTCGATGAACTACACAGCCGTCATGGATTCCAAGGCTTCTCAAGAATGACATCAAGAGACGTGTTAACAATATATCTTTATATTTTATTACAGAATGAATCAATGAGAAGAGCGATGAAGCAATTTCAACATTTATCAGAGTCAATTACAACTATTTCTCAGTGGGTTTGAAAGCTCTTGTCAGTTTATCAACAAAAAATATCAAGCAGATAATCTGACATTTGACACTCCAACAAAGATTGCAAATGTCCCACGGTATATGCTATTTTTTAATGTATTTCTTTTTAACATATTTCATTCTGACATCAATATGTCTTGCATGACTATCACAACCTATATTTCTCTGACAGAACTGTATTGAAGCGATTGACGGAACCCACGTGGATGCATGAATATTCAATATTGAAAAGATTACATACATATGGACGGTGTGGATCACCCACACAATGTGATTGTCGTATGTGATTTCAACATATGTTTTACTTTTATGATTGTTGTTTGGGAAGACAACGCACATGATATTTATATTTTTGTTATTTTGACAAGAAACCGAAGTCACAATTTCCCTCAACCACCTCCAAATTCGTTAAGTTATCTATCACATTCGTTTTTTTTAGTGTATTACTAATTATGGTATTTGTGACAGATAAATAATACTTGGTCGATGTTCGATATCCCTTGCAGACGGGTATCTGAAGTCATTTCCATATACGAGATATCATATTCCTGATATCAAAAGATCCACCAGTATTTTTCATGGCAGGAATGAAATGTTTAACAAAAAACACTCATACTTATGTGGCGTAATTGAAAAAACACTTGGAGTATGAAAGAAGAAATGTGTCATACTGCTTGATATGCCGACATATCCAATTCCAAAACAGATGCAGATTATAGTGGTTACGATGACACTCCACAACTACATTCGACGACATCGTTCTCGAACGGATGTAGACTTCAACTTAGGTGGCGATGATCACATGTAGGTCCCACCAGAAGCATTTGAAGTTCATGTAGGTCAATCTATAACATAACTAGAGGCAGTCACATGAAGGTTACACCCAGGATGGCGAGGGTGCAACAGAAATGGTTGAATTGCGAGAGCGGATCACATACGCCATTCTTGGTTGATTGAACGATTTTTACTTATGTAGAAAATAAAGTTCATGTTTATTTTATGTTTCCATATGTGATTGATATTTTAGATATTCTAAGTTTTATGCTTTTTGTAATTATTTTTTCTCCTTTTTCAATTGCTTTCGTTCTTTTTTTGTGGGTTTGTGTGATCCATGATAAGAAGTTCGATCTTGTGGGTTCTCTTGGATCGTCTATTAGTTATTGTTGTTTGGTGTCACATGTGAAATCCTGATAAAGATAACCAAGTTTCTCTTTTCTTTTCGATGTTGGGGGGTTTTGAGGTACTTCTGGACGGTCTTTTTTTGTGATATGCATATGTGACACACATGAGTTTAATATTAAATGAGTTAAAGACAACCAAGAACCCCTTTTTTACAAGGTCTGTTGTTTTCTTGTAGTGACAGATTCGTTGGTTGATATACTTTGTTCTCTAAGACCTTACGCCTGCAAAAAAAAATTGTAATTAAATACTTCTTTTAGCAATTTTAACTTTTGTTTTGACTAATGGAATGTCTTTGAATCATTCAGGAAAGATAACTCCAGGATTTCTGGGACCTCTGAACAAGTGTTCTGCCACTGTGGACTACAAAATTCCATACTGACGTCACGTCAGACACATAGCTACGGAAGACAGTTCTACAGGTACTCGTGGGGTATTACAGAGAAGTGTGACTTCTTCTTGTGGGCAGATAGTACGGCATATTCTACTGCCGATAGTGATTGGGGTTGGATGGTACCCCTACAGGACGACGTAGCTCGTGACATACGCAGTCTTGATTTTAAAATTAATATCATCATATTTTTAATTGTAGTTTTAATAATATTTTTTTTATCAATTTTGATACTCACTGTTATGTGAGGTATGTATCTTATTTTTTGTACTGTTCTGAAATCATTTTTTCTCTTCTCAAGTATCAAATATATTACTACACTGAAGGAATAGTAATTTATCCAGAAACAGTTGCAAAACAACTGTTTTTCAACAACACAAACAAAACAACCAACTAGCTTATTTGAAACTGCTGATCGACACTTTATCCGGATCAGTTACTTATCAGAAGCTTATTAATAAGTTGTAACTGCCCCAAACAGACCCAAAATTTTTCCATCTAAGCTTTAGGTTTTGATGGCTAAAAATTGTTCAGAATTGTTGGAATGAACATTTGAGAACATGAATAGAATGAATGGTGGATGATTCATAAAATCAAATCCGAACTGTTGGGAATATTCTGTGGAGGATGAAGAAAGATAGGAATCATAACAACCATTATTAATACCTGTTGAAGCCTTTAATTAAGTGGTTCAGGAAGCCGGCATTAATGCTTTTGTTGCGTTTTGATGAAGATAATCGTGTTTGAGAAACTTAAAGATTGTCTTTCTTAATATGATCAGAGGCTAACTCTTGTTCTATGAAAGTGTTCCCATTTTTTTTCAATTCCTTTTGAAGCAATCAATTCAGTGAGGATTGATTTTTATGTTAGGAATCATTATAATCATTATTAATACCTGATGCAGCCTTTGATCAAGTGATTCAGAAAGCTGGCATTAATGCTTTTGTTGTGTTAACACTTGTTCTATGAAAGTTTTCCCTTTTTTTATCAATTCCTTTTGAAGTAATCAATTCAGTGAGTAACGATTTTTTTTTTAGTTTTTTTAATGCCCTTATAGACCATATATTTCCTTGCTCAATAATTAATTTTAGGGGTTTTTTTTTTTCAGTTTATTAAAAAAACAAGTTTTGCAAAATTACATGCAGACAGAATTCTTTTTTTCTTTTAGCCTCTGGTCATGTTAACTTACTATGTTTATGAACTTGAGGCTTCATTTCAATTATAATTATGTTTTTTTCTACATGATCCTTATTGTTCTTTCAATATTAAACAATTGTCTCAACATTAAATCCATAGAATTGAAGTACTTGCTAAAGTAGTCTATTATAATCTTCAAAATTCTTAAAAAAAGGTAAAATGATTGAACTGCTGTTTATCAAAAAAAAAAAGAAAAAAAAAAAGACCTTTTGTTTGAAACTGTTTAATATTATAGCTTTTTCCATGTATTTCATGAGATTGATTTTACTAAGGTTGGCAACGAATTATGCCTAAGCTCATTTGCTGTAAATCTTGTTAATCATGTTTTTGACCATGGTAAAATATACGATCTCTTAAATGTTGTTTCTTAAATGACTAATGTATTTTGTTCTGGTAGTATATTAATCCGTTTCATATTATTTCAGGTCTCCGCTCAATGGTGGTTTGCACCTGGTCACGGAGATTGGTGCACATGCTTGGAGAAGTACACTTTGTGTCGAGATGGGATGTTTCACAAGGTTCATTATATAAAATGTGTTGTTTCAGAAGTTTTGTTTTATTATAGTATCAATTTTTGTTAATGAATGCTGCATTTATAATACAATCACCTATTCCAATTAGATTTTTGCATGCCACAAACTCTCTTCATTCCCGATAGAGCTTGGATTTGCATAAGATCAATTGATTTAAATGTTATTTGAAAAACTTGGAGATTTTAAATCTTGGAAGCCCTTTGATGCTCAATGAGTGATTGAGCTTAAAGGTTGGAAAAGACACAAATATATTTTTTTTAATATTTTTTTCCGAAAAGTGCTTTTCTTAGGAAAGGACATTCAACATAGGCGGGTGTGTTATTTTGTTAAATTTTGTAATGAAGTTTCTGAAAATATGATTGATCCTAGTGATTTAGTGATAGTAAAATTTTTAATTTTTACCGTCGCATTAGTAAAAAAGAAGTTACTCTAGAAATTCCTGTGGACTATCTTAGAAAACTAGAGTTGAGACTCACCCTTCTAGAAGCTCCAGCCGATTCCTATTTTCCTTTGATGTCTAGCATCTTTGGCCCCAGATGTTATCCCAACTGAAGTGTGGAACTATTTAGAAGTTTTAGGAGTTTTTTGGCTTACTAAAATCTTTAATATTATTTTAAAAACTAAAAAGGTGTGTGAAGAGTGGAAGAAGAGTATTTTTGTCCCATTTTTAAGAATAAAGAGGATGTACAAGAGTGTGCAAATTATAGAGGAATTAAGTTGAGCTGATGTGTCATAATTTAAAATTATTGGAGAGTGTAATTGAACGTAGGTTAAGATATATTATAAAGATTTCTCATAATCAGTTTGAATTTATGTCTGACAGGTCTACTATGGAAGCTTTATATTTATTGAGCGGTTTGATGGAGAAGTAATAGAGAGAATAAGGAAGATCTACATATGATTTTTATTGATTTAGAAAAAGCTTATGAGAAGGTTCCAAGAGATATCCTTTGGAGAGCTTTAGAGATGAAATGTGTTGATATGACTTATATTCAAGTAATTAAATATATGTATACTAGAGTATACTAGAGCTGTTACTTGTGTTTTGAATAGGAGGATTGACCAAATATTTTCCTATTTCAGTTGGATTACATTTGGGATCGAATTTAAGCCCATATCATTTTTGCTTTATTTATGGATGTTGTTACTGGATATTTACAAGAGTATGTACCTTGGTTTATGCTTTTTTGCTGGTGATATTCTTCTTGTAGATAAGACTACAAAAAGTGCTCAAGAAAAACTTGAATTATGGAGATCCACATTGGAGTCTAAAGGTCTTTTTTTGAGTAGAACTAAAATTGAATACATGGAATGTAATTTTAGTAGTAGCTCTAGTAACAGAGTTGTAACTATGGGTGATCAAATCATTAAATAGTGTGAATGCTTTAGAATTCTCGGGTCTATTGTTCAAAGTGATGGTGATATAGATGGGGATGTTATTAGTAGAATTCAAGCTAGTTGGTTGAAGTGATGGAATGCTTTGGGCCTATCTTGTGATAGAAAAGCACTCGCTTAAACTTAAAACAAAATTTTATAAGATGGTAGCGAGACCTGCAATGCTCTGTGGCGCAGAATATTGGCCTTTAAAAGAGAAGAATAAAACTAAGATAAGTGTTGTTGAGATGAGAATGCCTAGGTGGATGAGTGACTTTACACTTAGCGGCAAAATGTGAAATGAATATATCCGTGATAGGTTTGCTGCAGCTCTAGTGGCAGACAAAATTAGAGAGAAGTCTTAGATGGTTTGGTTGCATTAAAAGGTCGGCCATCTGATGACCTGGTTAGGAGGTAGATGTTTTAGATTTGACTTTATGTTAATACAAGCAGAGGTATACCTAGAAAGACTTGGGCATATTGTATAAAAAATGATCTTAGTTTATGGAATTAAATGAAAATTTGACACTCAATAGCACAATGGAGAAAAATGATTCTTGTAGCCAACCCCACTTAGTGGGATAAATGCTTGTTGTTATTATTGTTGTTGCCGCTGCTTCAAAAAGTAAACAGTAATTCCTTGCCTTACCTCATTGTTGGTATTTATAAGCTCTTGGAAGAAGACTGTTAATAGATATATAGCCCCACCATCTTTAGTTGGTATAACCCAGTTAAACTCTATGTCACATCTCATAACCCTTCCTTACAATTGACGCGGTTGCTGCTGCAAGGACTCCCGACCCCTTCACATGTTCTAATACAGTGCCCCGATTTGTTACAATACCGCATGGAACTGTTCGCGATGCCTGCTATTGTACCAGTCCAAATGGGTTTACATTGATTTTCCTTCTATTTAGAGTGGACTCTATTCTAAGTCTATAAATATGTTTTTTAGGTCAATTTTCATTGTGTTTTTTATTAGGACAGTCGTGGGCTTCCAGGTTGTCCCTTTTAGGGCTATATTCGAGGACGAGTTGTGCTCTAATTGTATCTCGTTCTGAGGTGGTGACTCTCCCCCATGGGTCAAGTGGTGCTTAGGCTGCATCTCTCTCCCTTGGTGGTGTTATCCTTCGCATCCCTCCTACTTCACTACCATACGTTCCTTCTCTCTGCAGCCTCCCCGACATTCACCTCCCAGTTGTCTTCCTGTAGTTCCTGCTCTCCCTACTGCTGACTGCTCACTCCCAGCCGCTCCAAATCATTCCTCTGGTACCTTTGCTACTGTCCCAACCGCTCGCAACCTTACCTCCACCTTCTCCTATCTTTTTGCCTCGATGTCACTGCCCCATAATCCCGTCGCCTTGCTATCCACTGTTGCCCCAGCTACCGACAACCTTCCCTCCACCTTCTGTTAGCCTTTTTCTCGCTGTTGTTGCCGCCTTGTAAGTCTCTCATCTTGTTGTACACTGTTGTTCGAAGGACCTGAATTGAAGCTTTGAATTGGGTCAAAATGAAGATGTAGAAGTTTTGGATAGTGAAAACAATTTTCGATTTGTCTTTTAAAATATAGACCCACATCATCTGACTGTGGTCATCAATCAGAGTAAGAAATCACCATTTATTGGTGTAGTTGACAGTGAGAGATGGTTCTCATATGTAGCCGTGAATGAGTGAAAAATGAGCAGAAGGTATGCAAGTGTGGGGTGGATAATGAACCCAGTGATATTTGACTAACTGACACGTCTCACACTTGAAACTACAAAGCTTTGATTGGAAAACATCAATGCATACAAATTTTTTAAATATTTGAAACTAGGACTATAATGCAACAACATAATGAGATATTTAGTGACTCAAGATAGGCTTCAACTACTGACTGGTACATCCTTATTCTCCGTGATTTTCTCTTGGATGTAGTAGAGTCCAACTTCCCCTTTAGCAGCTTCAATCATTCTCTTTGAACGATGATCAACACAATCAATGTCATGTTTCAACTTACTGGCGGATAAATGGTTGTACTTCAGCAGTGGTACATGCAACACAAATTCCAGAGTTAGACCAATATTTAGAACAACATACCCTTTACCGGCAATGAAATTATTGGAGCCATCTGCAATTCTGATCTTGTCTTTTCCAGAACATGGATAATATGGCCTAAACAATTTAGTTTGCATATTAATAACGGTCAGTGGTTGTTGTTTTTATTTTAATATTATAATACCTATGGTTTCCAATTGAGTTTGTAATAGATGGCCTAAACAATTTTTTTTAGTTTTTAGGCTTATATTGATTGGAAATGAGGAAGAAAAGAAAATGATGTTTACACTCCGAATCATTTGCTTGGCTCCTTGCTCACTAGCTTGCACATGTATGGTCCGTACTAAGCATGTGGCTTCCTTTTTAGACTACTCAGTTTGTGTGCTATTTGTGTGTCTTGGTATCTTTTGATCGTCCTATTTTTACTCTCTTTTTTCTCTTATAGTTGCATCGTCGTCGAACCCCCCTCCCTTCGTCTCTATATAAGGTGGAGCTGGCTCATCGATTATTTTATAAATTGATATTGCTGGTTAAGATATATATTATTTTAAAAACCGTCTTTTACAATAATATTCTAGCTAATTAGATTTTTTTTTCCCAATATAACAGGAGATTTGGGATGCTACCAAGTAAACTTTTTCCAGTTCTAAAAATACATGAATTTGTTTCTATTAAAAGAGCTCTCCATGAACTTAGGTAGGAAGAATCCCCTGTTACCCAACTCAAATTTCTCGATATTGGCAAGAAGTCAGATCTACTAGAATAGCACAAATAGAAGTGTTTTGGAGATGACACTTTACACAGACAAATCATGGAGAAAAATTGGCTGTTTAAATTCTTAGTTGGATTGAGTGAGGATCTTGATGAAGTGTGTGGGAGAATCTTTGAACTGGAGCCACATGTCATCTCCCAAAAGAGCCCTTATGGGTGGTGGGCAGCCCATGACTTAAATACTGTTTTTCGGCCCTACACCTAGCCCATGTGGGACTATTTGTTCATGACATTCTCCTCCACCCAGTCACGTGACGCCCTCGTCACTGATCGGCTCCACCGAGGGTCCCACTAGATCATGGAGAGTCCACACACCTGGCAGACAGTAATCTGCTCTGATACCACTTGTCACCTCCCAAAAGAGCCCTTATGGGTGGTGGGCAACTCAGGACTTAAATACTGTTTTTCGGCCTTACACCTAGCTCATGTGGGACTATTTGTCTGTGACACACAACTCACAATTAAAGATGTTATTCAAAAGTTTGCTTGGAGAAAAGCCACTAGAATTTATTGATGCGTTCTTGAACTCATCCACTAGGCTTGTGATGGTTGCCATTGGTCCTCATTAACGCCAAAGCCGTAACAACAGACTACAAATGATTATACCTTCAGCTAGATCCTGTCTTTCTCATTGTATATGCTGCTTCTGGTGAATGTAGTGTTCTTATACCCTTCAGAGGCCAGGAATTAATTGGTTTCATGTGTGGGCCTGTTATTTACATTGATGATCATTTTTGTGTTTGGAAATTTGATAGAATTCTTTTTTATAAACGTGGGATATTCTTTTTTTCTTCTTCTGCTCTCTCTCTCTCTAAAGTTGCTTTGGCTTATACCGGCAATACTGAACTCTTAAATTATTTACTATTATCGCATGAATTTTGTAGTTTAATGTAGTGAAATAATATTTTTGAAACATAACCTGGCATGCATAAGTTATTTCACTGGCTTGTAAACTATTTGTATCCTTTGGTTAGATATGCGCCTTTCTTCCACTATTCAAAAAACGAAGTTATTCATATTTTAAACATGGAAATTTGGCTATCTTGAGTACCGATAGTGGATGTTAACAACCACCTGATATTGCTTAATTTGTTTTTCTTTTGTAGGAGGATCAGTTTCACCGGTTGCTGTCTACTTTTATCCAGGTAATAGATATGTCAGAGAACGAGGAAGTTGAGTACTGGAATATTGTGTCTGCTGTGTTTGAGGGGAAGCAAGTGGTTCCTGTTCTATCGACCTCAAATTGCACGAGGAGATCAACTTGGGAAACTGATGATGGTATCAATAACAAGGTTTGCATCAGTCATTCACAAACAAATTTTTTTTTTCAGAAATAATAACTTGCAAAATAGACAGGTAAGTCCATTTTCCCTGTGCACGAATTGGAAGCTCTTTTTTTATTTTTTTCTATGTTCTTATTACTTGTGTAGCCTAAGCATCACAGGTCTATGTTTTTTTTTTTTTAAAGAATGTTTTGAGAATTTGTTCTATTTTTCATCCACATTAGTTTTATAGAAATTATGGATGTATTTTTTGAACGGCCAACCCATAATGAAATTTAATGCGATCGTGATAAAACCGACATCATTTGGAAAGCCTGATAATAATGTTGTTTGCTAATTTTTGTTCTGTTCTTCTTTGTTTGAACAATGCTCTGCCCATTTCCCAATAGTGTTGACTTCCACTTTGATGACATTATAGGTGAATTTGCTTAGAACAATGCTTCAATGGGAGGAACAAGTTCGGCATGGAGCAGCCTTAGGTGAAAGCAGGCAAGGAGGCTGCTACTCTAAAATGGCTACTCTTGGAGAAGTGGTGATCATAAAATGGCCCACTGGAGAGATAATGAGGTTGAGATCAGGCAGCACTGCAGCTGATGCTGCCAGAAGGTTAGGTGATGAAGGAAAGCTGGTTTTAGTCAATGGTCAGCTCGTTCTACCACACACGGAGCTCAAGGACGGCGACATCCTGGAGGTTAGAATATGATTCTTTTGTGATTTAATCTCTCTTTCATTAAAATAGAAGTTTACTGGACATAGAGAGGGATTTGACAAAATGTACAGGATTGGGTGGCAGTCGAATTGAATGTAGAGCTTAAGATTAGTGTATTGGCAGTGTCTGCTCATTGTATATATGTTCCACATTCAGCAATAAACGCATCAATCAACCTTTACACTTTTGTATATATTTAGTAGTATTGGAATATTTTGATGGCTTTGTTGTTGTTGTTGTTGTGTTGTTGTTGGAATATTTTGATGATCGTTCTTCTACCTCACAATATGTCCGGTGTGTTTCATTTTAAATATAAATGCCTTTGTTATTAATAATAAGTCATAATCATTGGCATTTATAGCTCCACTAACATTCAAACAAGGAACCTACCCGATTCCTACTTTAAACTCTCTCATTTGAAGTTAGGCTTGAACATCCATTTTGAATTTAGGGTTCAAACATTCGTTGTAAAGTCCGAAGAAGAGTAATAGATTTGAATTTTGTACACAAATTTGAATAGAGCTCGAACAAATCATTGAACAAAATTTGAAACACGTTATTTTGTTCGAATTTTGTCTGCATAAGATTTGAGTAAGTTTTAATCTTTGTATGAGTTATATTTGAATAAGATTTTTTTATCTTAAGTTATCAGGTATGAAATTAATTCATTTGAGTTGATTTAGATGCTCTAGTTAATCATACCTTTAAAGAAGTATCATAATAGTGGTGTCAATTGAGTTTGGTTTGTAACATTACATGATCTTTTTGGAAAGTTTGATGAATCTTCTTTTAGGTAGGTTTGTAATACTCGTAAATCGCATTTATACCCTTCAACTATTAATGGTGTTTGATTATGAAATGGATTTGATAATTCGTCGTGTTTACCATTGGATATAAAAACATTAAATTTGGAGGTAGAGGATTTATTTTTTAGTATAAGGTTAGGGTAGAGTGAATTTTCAGTTGAGAAGTTCTAGAAAATGATTGCAAGCACTAGGGTGATGGTACCTAAATGGTAATAGTAGTTTTAAGAATGTCAAATTGGAAATTGCATTCATGAAGTGTAGTGAGTGGAAAGATGAATTAGGGCTATATTCTCTTGTTAATGGTGTTCAGCTCAACCATGAGATGTATAGTATTGTTTTAATTATAACTCTTGTATTAAGTTGAATATCTAAAGCAAAAGCTATCATGTGAGAGGACATTAAAAGGATTGAATAAGGATATAGTGTGTTATAAGAAAATGTCCCAAGTAAAGCCTCAACCCAAATTATCTTTGATTATGTTATATTATTGTAATTTTAAACTTAAGAAGCCATCTTAAAAGTAAGGAAGACTTGTTTAGGGTAACTTTGAGAGAACTCCTTAGATGCAGAGTTGGAAAAATAAAAAATGCTTGCAGACAAAGATGTATTGCTATTCTTTATGAATAAGAGTGTAAGTTATATATGATTTATTTTATTTAAATATCAATTTAGGTTAATTATGATGTGAATTAATAGTCATGTTTGTATTCAATTGTTATTTATGCATTTTTTAAACTCTATTGAAGGTGGTGGGTCATCCTTGTGTAATTAAAGATTAAAAAAGATTATGGGCCAATTGTTTAAAGTTTATGGTAGAGTAGCGAGCATTTTAAAGGGACATAATTTAGAAATGTCAAAGAGTAATTTAAATTAGGCTTTGTTTGGATTGATTTGGAATTTTGCTCTGTGAAATATATTTTAGGTGAGATAAATAGTGAAAATGCTTTTAGGGCATTATTGTTTATGTGAAATAATGTGGAAGCGTAGAAATTTACACAACAATCAAATACAAAGATTTACGTGGTTTGGCATTAAGTCGATTCGCCTGAGTTCACGTGTAGGGCACTAGTATCAAAATTGGGAGAAAGAAAGAACAGCTTAGGTTACAATTTCCACACACCTCTCCTCTCTCGCGAACATTAAGTCCTCTTATATACAAGAGGCTTGGAGAATAAAAGGAAAGGAACAAAAAAGAAACAAATCAATTAAAGTAATATCCTAAAGCAACACTCTTCACCTCATTTCTTACTTCCAAATAAGTGAGAGATGATTAAATGAGCCTCAAACTCTAATTCAGTTGCACCAAGCTGGTTGCTTAAGTACCTCCACTCTCGAAGAAATCAAGTCTCGTGTAGTTGTTCAAAATGTCTGACTGAGCAATCAGTCATGAGCTTGGATATTCATGAAAGTTCTGCAATATGTTAACTTCTGGACTTGTAGTACCCTTATGAGCATGTCTGTTGAATTCTCCTTCGTATATATTTTCTTCAACAGAATATTGCCTTCTTCAATCAAGTCCCGAACAAAGTGGTAGCTCATGTTAATATGCTTAGTAAGGGCATGATGAAATAAATTTGTGACAAAGTATATCATACTCTTACTGTCACAGAACACCGTCAGAGACTCTTGATCAACTCCGAAGTCATCCAATATGCCTAGCATCTATATATTTTCTTCATTTTCTCTGTGGCTGTCATGTACTCAGCTTTCGTAGCAGACAAAACAATAGCAGATTATTGAAGAACTGGCCTCCAACTAACTGGATCTCCTGCCAATGTGAATAAATAACCAATTGTAGATCTCTGCCTATCCATATCTCTTGCATAATCTGAGTCGGTGTAGTCTATAGATTGAAGAACTGGCCTCCAACTAATTGGATCTCCTGCCAAAGTGAATAAACAACCAATTGTAGATCTCTGCCTATCTATATCTCTTGCATAATCTGAGTCGGTGTAGTCTATACACAAATTTGCAACGCGAATCATGCTCGATTCTTATTTGTATCTTGTTTTAGTCTACCATTTCGAGAACCACATCCTTAAGGCCAACTGTGTCGGAGGGGATTTGAACCCCCAACCCGAGGGGTCTTATACCGTGGATGCCAACTAGAAGACCGAGGTACATGACACACACACACATATTTTGATGCATGCATATATATATATATATATATA